ATAGTAAATAGTTGTACAAAAAGTTAAACCCATAATTTGAATGTGCTTCCTCTTTTTTTTGGGGAAAATCCAAAGTACTCGTGTACTTTGAAATTGAAATCAGCTTTGTTTATGTGCACCGTAAATGTACGTAACTTTGTTACTTTGACGGACATTTGTTAGCCATATTTATTGCATTTCGTATTGCATTCAAAACACACACGTATTTAAAAGTTCATGCAATTTTTTGTGATGTGAACAAAGAAATATTTTGGCGTGCTCGAGAAATCCATAAAAATTCCAAAAAGACGAACGCGAAACACAACAGCTAAATTTACATATACTTATATTCGAACATTCGTCCATATAAGCATGTGTACGTATTGCAGATACTAAACACTTAAACAGCCACCATTAAAAGCTATAGGTTCATAAATCTTGTTATTGTTTTTGGGATAGACTAAAAGTTTTACTAAACTTGTTCTTTGAAATTCGGACTACTTATTTCTTAAAACCTAAAATGCGTTGGTTTTATTGTTATGTAAATATGTAAATCTTAAAACGCTTGTCAAAATGTCATGCGAAAATATATAAATTATTGTGTTGCGATTTTGTATATGAGAACTAGACAAATTTCTTCCAAGAAGTCCGCAATTTAAATTCGAGTTGTTCTTCTTCATATTTATTTCTTTGTCTCCCGGTGAAAAAAGTCAATAAAAAATGCTGATTAAAATTTATTTACAAAACGAAATGAAATTGCAATTTACGAAAAAAACAATGTTTAAATAGCCAATTAACAATTTGCGTCTCCTTTGCACTTTAAATTTTGTTGTTGTTCTTTTGTTAATTTTATTTGTTTTTTGCTTTTGGCAATTGCTATTGTTGTTTGTCGTGCAAATTTGCGAAATAAATAACACGAAGAGAATGCTGGATGTGCAATACGAGGGGCTGTTTTTCAATGTTCTCCGAACTTCGGAAAGGTGTAAGACCTTAACACTGAAAAAGGTGTCCAGAGATAATCCTTTATTTAATTCGGAAGCAAGATCTTTGTGTATTGCAAAATACTATTTTAAATGTATTGGAGTAGATGACTTCATTTATTCACATCATTTGGGGGTGCTGTTTCTTAATTAGATTTATTGTTTATCAAGCAACTTTATTTGGAAACAAACATTAAGAACTTGCCTGCCTATTAGTAATTGCTCCCAAGCCTGGATTAATTGTTTTTCTGCGAAGGAATTTTGTTATTTTTTATTATGCACAACCCAAAGCAAAAGGTGCGCCTGGGGAGCATTGTTTCCCCTTCGCGTTCCCCTGATTTGGCTGCCTGTATGTCTATATCTTTCTGTTCCCTGAGTCACGATGCTTTTGAGTACGTTTTTTTTGCCACCTCATGCCATCGCCTCCTAATTAGCAACACAGAGTAGCCGAAAGTAAACCGAAACATTGCAATTCGGTGGCGAGTGCTTGTCAACCTGGACAGGTGTGTTGGCCCCTTCTGATCCGCCGACTGCCCCTTTTGGCCAACTCGGTGGTGGTGGTGATGGTGTGGATGTGTGTTAACAAGTGACAGCTTGATTTGATGGAGACATCTCTGGATTTATTGACACCACCAACTGAATGGCTGAATGACTGAATGCCTGAATGGCCGAGTGAGTAAGCACCAAGGTGACCGATCTTGCGATCTTGTGGGTCACAAAAGTCGATTGCCATTTCCATTCCCCCTCGAATTTGCTCCCCTTACTTTCTGCATCTAAGCGAGAGGCAAATTATTAGCCAATTATCGCGGATCAACGGGAGGAATAAACGAATTCCCAGCCTAAATAATCCCATTTGTCTGACGCGACATTTGCATATTGCTCCAATTTTCTCTTGACACACACACATTTTTATACCAGACAGTCGAAATTGGCGGCAAAAAAAAAAGAGGAGCAGAATTATTTCAGCTGCTATTAGCAGTAATAATATTCTGTAAAGTTTATGATGGCAGCGGCTGTGTGTTTTCGGGTTTTAGCTGCGAGAAGAAAGGAATATGCGAGTATATTCTTGACAACCAGCGGCATGTGGCATTCATCGGCTGAAAGTCGGCGGAAGGCGATGAGTGGGCTTTAACGACACTTTCGATTTTCGTGTAGTTGACTCCGCATGTTTGCAAATGTTTATTAAAGTAAAAATAAACTGGGGAAGATTATTAGAATTGTTCTGAGAAATGTGAGAAATTAAAAATATACTGAACACTTCACAAATTCGGAGAAAAGTTTTGAGCAATTAACTTCATGTCCAGTTTTATTTGCTATTAAATGATCTTTAAAATAAATTCCCAATAAATGTAATGGTGAATCTATAGCATTTCAAAATAGTATTTTAATTTTTTTGTATTTCTTGAGTTTTTCCAGAGGAATAAAAGCACCTTGCAAGTTCTTTTTTCGACAGCTTAATCATAATCCCCGCCGACTTCTGTCATTCCTTTATTCTTCATATGCTTTCTGCCCCCCGGGGCCACCTTTTGTGGCTTTTGTCATTATTTTCGATTTCGCTGCCAGAGAGACATCAGCAGCAAACAGAAGTCATCTGCAGAAAGTGCACTGCGGAAAACCCAAAAAGCAATGCTGCTGTGCAAATATAAATTACATATTATTTGAAGTAATTATAATTATTTTGTGTATATAATTTGAATGAATCATTAAACAGATTAACAAATTGTGGGGGATAATAAATCTTTAATATGACCACAAAAAATATAAAATTACTGTTGGGTTAAATGGCATTTATAATTTCTGGTAACTGAATACAATTTCGAAATGTTTAAATGAAATTGTAATTTTATTTAGCCTATGTATAATATTATATGTAGAACAGATCTGGCAGCAGTGACAATCAAGTGGGTGGGCGTTGTCAGTCGCATTGTGCACCATGACCAAACTGTGACAGAGAAGGAGAAATCAGAGGGGACTCCCCCGAAAGCATCCCCCTCTCCCTTCCCCCTTATCGCCCCATGAACCACCCACCAACAAGCGACTCATCTCGAGTGGTTTTCGTTTCGATTCGTTTTATTATTTATGTCGCTTAAATGATGCGCTGGCGTTTTCCTGTCAAATTAATTGCTTTTGGTTTTTATATATTATATATACATATATTTTTTGGGACTTCTTTTTGGCATCTCAGCGATGGTCAGCTGCAGCAGGACGGGTGGGTGGAAAAGGGGTGGCGAGGGGGAGGGGTATCGGGGGATTGGGGCGTTGTGAAGGCTGCATAGATTTATGAAAATGATTTTAATTGCAAGTCGTCGCATAACAACGAAGCTAAAGACAAAAGCGAGCGGCAGACAAAGGGCAACCGATGATGATAACACCAACGGGTTTGTGGAGGATTGGAGGATAGAGGATGGAGGATGGAGGATGGAGGATCGAGGATGATGATGATATAGATGATGATGCTGATGGCGGTGGCGATTCCGATTCCGAGATGATGATGATGATGATGATGATGGTGGGGAGACTACGAGTAGAATCTGCAGCAGCGGACAAAGCAACAAAGATGCGAATGCGAATGCGAATGCGACCACGCAACGCACAACTGCTCGTAAAAAGCCAAAAAATGATATGGCTATATATCAGGGATGTGGCGCCCACCGCACAGCCCAAAATGATGACAACAATATGAACACTGGCCTGTTGGCTGTTTCGATTGGGTGTGACCAATTGAATTTATGCGTCCTTTGTATGTTTGGCCAAAAACAAAAACAAAACAACAAAAAAAGGAGAAAAGAAAGGAAAACAAAAAAGAAATAGCACTAAAGAAAGAAACGGCGAAAAACGGCAAGCCAAAGGCAAAGGCAAAGGAAATGGCCAAGAATGAGCAACAGATGCCAAAGAAGCAAACCGTGGGGACAGGTTATTAACCAGTTCTATTTGTCTTTGTCTCGGGGAACTTCTCCATCGCCATCGCCATCGCCATCACCATCGCATCTCAGTCTATCTGCTTTTCTTCAATGAATTCGGAGAACTTATCTCGCAACTCACTTGACTCTTGACTGGAATGCCAAGTGCTATCGGGAATGTTGTGTTTAACTCGCAGATGCCTCACAGTCGAGACTTCTATTTATCGCAGTTCCTCCACTCGTATAGATCTTCATTAGGAGTGGCGGCGTCATTATGCAACATTCTATTCTACTTAAAATGATACAACACTTGCCAGTCATTTATTTTTGTATTCCAGTAAAGGGGAGTTTACTAAAAAGCGTGATTGGTATTAAAACAATTCCATCTAACAATTCTTGAGCATTTTTTCGTCATCGTTCTCTACAGTCATTCTTTTTTGTGGAAATTTTATTTGTTGCTTATCCTTAAATACTTGAACATGATGAATTTAGTGCTATTCCCTTCCAATAACTTTTCTGGTTTAATGAGGCATATTTGCAGTTTTAATGATAAATTTACTATTAATATTCCAAGACTTCGTACCGATCATCTTAATCCCCTTCCATTCAGATTACTTTCTCGATCTCAGTAATCATCTACTTGAACATCGCGATGTGTCAACAAGCTGAGCATTCCTGTTTATAACTTAACGGAGTGAACGGAAATAAAAGAACTCGGCTTTGCCCACTTAATTTCCGCGAATCCGGTTTATCTCCTCTCCGCGGATAACAGAGTGTTTAACTGCACTTCAAGGTGTAGAACGGAAGTGGCGCAGATATGCATATAAAGACACATATATCTCGAGAACAATTCATTGATGACTGCATGCAGTATCACTCCGAAGAGATACCAAACCCAGATACTTTGTCTACGACTCGAGTTCCGATCGTAACTCACATCACATTCCATTGATAACATTCTGCTGGCTTTCCGAAAGTGATTTACCTTTTCCCCCATCGCACAAAGATATTTTATTTATATGCTCGTATTCATTTATATTTATCATTTCTGGGGAATCGATTGGCAATTCCAGAGCTGCTTTTTGCCATTTACAAATTGCTATTATTAGTTTCGCTTTAATTGCCGCTGGGCATGAGTAATAATTGGCAAAGGAAATCACCTGCTGCTGTTGTTGCTTTGTGGATTTCTTTATTGCAATTCGCTCTAATCAAACTAAAAAATATTTACACTGGCGCCTCCACTTGATTGCAGTCACACTTCGATAAAGAAGGCAGATTAGGAGTCTTTGTATTTTAAGCGGATTTTTTCTAAACTTTGCGTCTGACAAGGATTGCTACTTAATATCTTATTTATTTTCAGGGAAAGTATATTGCAGTTTTGTATGATAAAATATAAAATTATATTTCATATCTCACATTTCTTTTAATTATTCATTATTCTTTATTGTTATGTTTATGTTGTTCATATTTAATAAGACTTAAACTCATTCTTGAGAATTCGAGGGTGTAGATTTGCTTTCTTTAAGTGCATGGAATTTACCCAAAATAAAGCAACTAAAATACAAAATCTTTTTTTTTTTTTAAATTTCGTTTCATATTTCTTTGAAAAATGCATTAATCTCTAATGTTTTTATGTTTATGTTTTTTATATTTATTAAGACTTAAACTTGTTCTTGGAATTTCGGGGGCTTAGATGCGTTTTTCTAGGTGCATGGAATTTTCCCATTATTAAGTAGATAAGGGGAAAAGTCCCTTGTGGCAAGACAAAGTGGGGAAGTGGAAGTGGAGCTACGATTCCACTTATTAAGGCATGACAAACACTTTGTGAAACCAAATGAGAAATGCGACAAATAACTATTGTGTTTGCCTTTCGATAGCTTCTATAGCCTCGATTTTAAAGCCCCAACCAATTGGCCAGTCGTAAAAACGGGTTACGTGGCCAGGTCCAGTGCCTCTCAAACTGTGCACCTCCCGCAATTCGCTGCTGCAATCGAGCGAACTCCTCGCTCGTTCAGTCCAGATAATGGAGGCAAACAGGGCGTCATCCGCTGGCGCCGGTCTTTGTCTTTGTCCCGCCTGCTGGCACTATAAAAAAAGGCCCAACAAAAGCGCCAACTAATATACCCATACCCATACCTATATTATATGTGTACCTATAACCATATATACTGATATAACCCACAAGTGGTCCCTCCGTCGGCGGTTTTCTCTTATCAGAGAAGCGAGCGGTGCGCCGTTTGGCCAATTTAATTTGTTACACATTCTGAAGTGTTTTTCCTCCGTGGAAAAGGGGAGGGGCGAAAAGGGGGAGGGGAGCGGTCCACCACTCACATGCTAAACTTCCATTGAAAACGCTACGCAATAAAAATTATTTCATGGTCAGCAAACAAACAAACAAACATACACACACACTACCACATACATACAAACACATACAAACACACACAAAGCAGAGACGCACGCAAAGATAGCCAGCGCAAAACTAACGCAAAAAATTGCTTTGTCCCCAAAATGTACAAATATTTTTTCTTTGTAGTACGTACTTGGCTTTTTCAAGTGCGCACCGCTCTCCCGACCCCTAAAAAGTTGGTTGGCAAGTGCGGAATTATGGGGACGGCGTTCTAATCCGCTTTTCATTTACGTAATTTCCACAAGCTAAAAGAAGGTTTTCCAACTATTTCTTTGCAAGAGGATGCGTAACAAAAGTTGATATGCAAAAAACTATTTGTTATATAAGAACAACTTTCAGAGTTGGTTATAGAAAAGGGATTTTTTTGAATTAGTTATACAAGTTTTGATATCCTGGTCCAGAGTTAACGACTTTTAATTATATAATTTTAAATTAATAGCAACAAACGGAATGCCTTTTACAAGAAAACGATTTGTTTTACGAGAAACTCTTTCTTGGTTTATCAAAAAAAAAAAATAATATTCTATCATAAAATAAAATACCTGATCCCTTAAATATTCTAGCATTGTTATAAGTATAATGTAAACAGTATTCAAAAAACAATTTGAAACTTTTGGCAAACATTTTGTAGCTTTGTGGTTTCTGATTGAAATTTGTTAAAACTGCCGCAAAGTGTAAAGGAAAACCCGAAGCTTCTCCATTTGCTATTTGAGCGGAATCTAGGGCTTCGATTATGATGTATTAGTTACTTGAGTTGTAAGCCACCGAAACCGGTTGACCAAAAACGTTTTCCCTGACAAACAACAGCAAAAAAAAAAAAAAATAAAAGAGCCAATTTGCACAAAGTTAATAAATTACAGCATTGACTGCCTTTGTTGCGGTTTTTTTTTTGTTGCCGCTGATTTTTTGGCGTTGCTCTTGGGTTAAATTTTAAAATTTCGATTTCGCTGTGACTGTGACTGTTGTGGCTCGCTGACGATGACGTAAGCTGCGTGCGACGTCAGTTGACCTTGGTACACTTAACAACATCAGCAGCGGCAACATCAGCCGTGAGTAACAACAATAATAACAACAACAACGTCAACAAATAGGCTCGACTTGGAGTTTTTTTGTCTGCCTCTTTTTATTTTGGGTTGCCTCCATTTCTTTTATATTTTAGTTTGGTTGCTAGGCTGAGCTTTTAAACCATATATTTTTTTTTTTTTTGGGAGGGAAACTTGACGAAGTTGCATATGGTCCACGCTGCGTCAAATGGCAAAGGGAAAGTGGGCAGCGTCATCATCATCATCGTCATTATAGTCCTCATAATCATCGTTCCCTCATCATCATAATCATTATCATCTTTTGGTATCCATCGGCAGTTAAGTTCGGTTGAGTTGATGAGGCTGAAACCGAAACTGAAGCGAGCTTTTGTCGCCGACTTCATTTGAATATTATTGGGTCACTGTGTCAGAGCAGAGTCAATAAAAATTAAAACATGACCCCCCGTTTTGCCCCTTCTTGTTCGCAAAGTGGTTACTCACTTACCGCTCGCAAACAGTTGTTGTCAAAATAATAGCAATTCAGGAAAAAGTACAGTAAATGTATTTAATTCAAAAACTCTAAAGCATCGATAAACCTATCGAAATAATCGATTCTATCAAAGTTTTCCCTTTGAGAATCTGTTTCTATTGTTTAAAACACATTTTGCAAATTGAAGTGTAAAGTACACAATTTAAATCGATTTACATAGAATTATAAAATGTGGTAAATCCCCTTTGTGATTCCCCCATCAAACTTCTCCCTTTCCTATCTCACTGACCGCAATTGTACGTGCACATGCAATGGAAATGATTAATTAACCCAGACCCAGACCCCTAAAAACAAAAATCAAACTTCGCACTGACTTGCAGTGTGTGCTTATTTACTGCCTTTGTTTGCTGCTCTTAATTATTGGAAATACTTTTGATATGCCCTGCTTAGTAGTTTACTTTTGGAAAACAGTTTTCTTGAAGCCGCTGCCTTTAATCGCCGAGTTTCCTTCTGTGACGCAACTTGAGGCGTTGACTTTAACGCCCAGTGTTTGTTTTTGTTTTGCAAATATTTGAACGGAACACAAAGGCGTCGCATTGAATCACGTAGAGTCCCAACAGCGCCACAGGTAATACGTTCCGAAAGGGGGTTTGCGAGCAGTAGTTGGATTGGAGTAGAGTTGCTCTAGGTCGAGAAGGGCGGGGAATTCCGAGCTCAATTCATCCGGCTGGAATGCGATATTTCCTTATGCAACTGTTTGGCTTAATCGACTCGACTGTCACCTTTTATTTTTCACTGTTTGTTTTCATAATGAAGAGAATTACATACCACACAAAAACTATGTTAAAGTCACAATTTCGCTTAAATACTGATAAATTGAATAATATTTTTGAATCCGTTAGTACATTTCTGCTTAAATTTATAAAAAATCCCTAAGATTTTATTAATTCTTATAAACTATTTCTTTGAATGGGAAATTCGATTATCATTGCATTTTCATGCTGATAACAGTGAAATGAAACTTTTTTAATATTTCCTCTAAATTAAACCTCCAAACTTTTTTAATTTTGTCATCAAGTGTGCTTCAGGGTGTATAGTATTTCATAGAAATAACGTGGGAAATCATTTAACTAGATTATAAAATCCGGTAATCATAGAAGATAGTTTTGTTCTAAATACAGAGATGCACTTCACATTATTCGATGTTCCTCTTAATGTTTTTATCGTAAATCCTGATTGAATCCAATGCGATTCCCCAAGTGAACCCACATCTAACCGACTTTTTCTCCCTCCCCTTTCGTTTTCCGCAGGCTCAGCGTCACGAGAACACGGTGATGCAAGCGCTGGAATCGCTTAACGACTCGCAGGTTAATGACTTCCTCAGCGGCAAGACTCCGCTCAACCTGAGCATGCGCCTCGGCGACCACATGATGCTCATCCAGCTGCAGCTGAGCACGGTGAACCCGGCGGGTGGCGGCGGTGGAGCAGCCGCCGTGGCCTCCTCCTCGGGTGGTTCGACGTCCTCTTCCGCCGCAGCAACTTCAACGGGAAATGGAACGCCAGCTGGAACTGGCTGCTCCACTTCCGCTGCTTCCTCGGCGGTTCTGGCGGTTACGGGAGGAGGAGGAGGAGCAAGCACTGGCGGCACCAGCTCCTCATCCTCGTCATCCTCTTCGTCCGCTTCCTCTTCATCCTCTTCTTCGTCGAGGACTCGCTCCTCCGGCCAGCGATCGAGTGGCAGGATCGGACATGGCCACGTGCACAGCCACCAGCACCCGAGTCTGCATGCCGCCAACTGGCATGGTCATGGCCACAGCCACGGCCACGGACACGGACACGGACATGGTCATGGGCACGGGCATGGGCACCACCATCACCACCACCACCACCATCACCACCACCATCACAACGCGTCGGCGGTGGCGGCGGGAAGCGGCGGCGGGATGTCGTCGCTGCGCAAGATGTACGGCGATCTGCCCAGCTCCTCCTCGGGAGCCACCAATGCTGGGTCAGCGGGATCCGGGGGAGCGGGTCAGGCGGCGCAGAGCTCGTCCGCACTCAATGGATCCGATCTCACCAAGCTGCTGATCAAGGGCGAGCTTCAGAACATCGCGAAGAGCTTCGCACTGAAGGATGCCGGCGCAGTGGCCCGGCAGGTGGTCAATGGAGGAGGGGGAGGTGGCACCGTAGCGGGATCGAGTTCGGGAAAGCCCGTCTTGGAGCAGTCGCCCATCAAGTCGCTGTCGAATCTCGTCTCCAGTCCGATTAAGATGACGGCCATCAAGAACATTCCCCTGCCTGCAGCTCCTGTTGCCAGTTCCACATCCTCTTCCTCTTCCAGCTCCGGTTCTGGTTCCATTTCCGGTTCCGGTTGCAGCTGCAGCCTCTCCGCCGCCAGCTCGCCATCTCCATCGTCGTCCTCTTCCGCCAACGGTGGATCCTGCACCGCCGGTGGCTGCCAACAGGATCCCATTGCCGCCAAGTTGACCTCGTGCTTGTGCACCCGCCTGCCCACTCCGTCGGTGGCTCCTCCGCCGCCGGTGGCCTCGCTGGTGGCGCCCGCCCCGCTGGCCAGATCCGGCTCCACCACTGGCTCACCCGGGAAGTGCCCGGAGTCCAGTTGCGGCGGTGCCCGCTCCTCGGCTTCCGGCCACTCCGGGGTCACCTTCTCGGGCAACTCGATGCTGCACAAGACGGGCAACAACCGCATCACGAGGACCAAGCACCGTCACTACCACGGACATGCCCATGGTCACAGCCACGGACATGGGCATGGACATGGTCACAGCCATGGTCACGGGCACAGCAGCCACTTCTACCACCACGCCTGCGCCGGCAATCAGTCATCGGTGAACGGAGCCGCCTTTGCCACCAGTTCGTCATCCGCTTCAGCGTCTTCCTCGTCAGCTTCCGCCTCCTCCTCCTCCTCCTCCGCCTCCGCCTCCGCCTCCTCCTCTTCGCGTCGCAAGTTGGAGCAGGCCATGGCGGCAGGAGGAGGAGCAGCAGGAGGAGCAGCCACCACAGCAACAGCGGCGGCGGCAGTGGCTCTTCCAGCCAGCGGAGGCGCAACAAGTGCAGCAACCACCGAACCGGAGGACTCCCTACTGGGAGTGTCCGACACCCGTGCTCTCGCCGAGGCGTCGCGCAATCTCACCCAGACCCTGCGCAAGCTCTCCAAGGAGGTGTTCACCAACAAGATCGACCTCTCGGGCGCGGGAGTCGTGAGCAGCAGTCGCAGTTCCGCCGGCGGAGCCTCCTCGAGCGGAGCAGCTGGTGGCGAGGAGGCGCCGCGCAAGGGAGGATCGGGAGCGGTGATCGAGTCGATGAAGAACCACGGCAAGGGCATCTACTCGGGCACCTTTTCGGGCACTTTGAATCCGGCGCTGCAGGACCGCTACGGAAGACCCAAGCGGGACATCTCCACGGTGATCCACATCCTCAACGATCTGCTGAGTGCCACGCCGCAGTACGGTCGTGGCGCCCGCATCAGCCTGGAGGCACCTGCTCCGGGCTCGCTTTCGGGATCGGGTTCGGGTTCCGGTTCCAGTGGCAGTGGCTCCTCCTCGAACTCCTCCTCTGGCAGCGGAATGCACCATGGATCGCGCAGCAAAATGGTTAGTGACTTTAAATATTTCATATTTATATCATATTATAATATTTCTTACTTCCAGTACTCCTCGAAGCATCACAACTGCGCCAAGTGCAACAGTCGCGCCCAGCAGCAACAGCAAGCGGCGGCGCTGGCCAGTGGCATCAGCTGCTCCTTCCGCGACTGCCCGAGCTACCACGGCTCCTCGTCCTCCTCCTCCTCCGCCTCCGCTGCTGCCTCCTCCTCGAAGGCTTCCGGCTCGAAGTCGTCCTCGCACAGCTGCTGCCAGCCAGAAGCAGCCAGTTCAGTTCAGGCGAATGGCTGCAGTTGTCGCTATCGCCGCGATGAGGGACAGGGACAGGGAGAGCGGGAGCGGGAAAGGGAGCACACGTGCCAGAAGTGCACCGTGGAGCTGGCCAACATGAAGACCCGCTCGAAGATGGACCAGCTGCGTCTGGTGATGCAGCAGCACAAGCAGAAGCGGGAGGCGCGCAAGCTGAAGAGTGGTCCCTATGCCACGCCCTCTGCCGCCGCCGCCTCCGCGAATGATGGGCTCTCCTCGGTGGCAGCCGGTGGAGCAGCAGCCGTTTCAATGGGAGCAGCTGGGCAGTACGCCCTGGTGGCCACGCCCCTGCAACCAACCGCTGTGCCCGTTCAGGCGACAAAGGCGACTCCTGCGAGCAACAGCAACAACATCACTGGCGACAATAGCAGCAGCAGCAGCAGCAGCAGCAGCGATAGCGACAGCAGCAACAGCAACACCTCGACGGCACCCGCAACAGCAACAGCAGCCACTGCAGCCGCAGCAGCAGCAACAGCATCTGCAGCAGCAGCAGCAACAGCATCAGCAACAGCAACAGCAGCACCGCCCAGCGAAGTCTCACCGAATCACATCGTAGAGGAGGTGGACACGGCGGCCTAAGGGCAACAGAAGCCTCAGCTTGAGCGAAAACAACCAGCAGCAGCCCCGCTGACCCTATCCTATTTTGTAGCATTTACTAGTTTACGCAGCAGCAACAAAGAACGATGAAAAGATGAAGAAGGAGTTCAAGATGAAGATAAAGAAGGAGTTCAAGATGATGATACAAACGAAGATGCAGGACCAGTAGAAGCAGATGGACAAACAAGAGAAACTAGAACCACAACTAAAGCTTATATTAATCTAGAGTTAGTGCATAACAACGCCAAGTCTTATGTTCGTTTGCCTTTTCCCACCTCCGCGAGATGAGGAGGAAATGAAGTGGGAAAAGCGGAGAAAGGTCGATAAGCTGTTAAATTAATTTTAAGACCCCCAAAAACACACACACCAACACCCACATCCACACCCACACCCACTTCGGTCCAAGCCAATTGTCCTGGCAACCCGATGAAGTGAACGATGGAATGAATCAGCTTCTGGAGGCGAAATCCTTTAATGTTTTGTATATTAAACTTAGTGAAATTTTTTTGTGTGCATCCCAGGCAGACGCAAAGGTCAATCAATTGACCATTTCAATCGCAGACAACCCGCGCGATATTGGCAATTTAAAACAAGAAGAAAAAGAAAGGGGGAAAATGAAAGGAAAACCCCAATAATGATAAAGAAATGATTCAAATATATATAAATATATTTAAATGTAAAACGTTTACACACAGACTATGCTGAATGAATTGTAAGCCAAAGCGGTGGCAAATTTTGGTAGAACTAAAACGGAATTTAGATTTAATTTTAGACACACCAAATCTAACTCACACACACACACGATCACACACACACACACCTGGCTTTGGCAGCTTTATGTTATGTTTAACTTTAACCGATGAAAAGGAAATGCGATGTGGCGCTTTAACCTAATTTGCCTTAATAGAAAATCGTTTTCCACCAACTTATTTTTTTTTGTATACTTTATCACCATGAATGTGTTTCGAAACGCGCCGGGAAAGACGAGCGACGAATTGAATTTTGTTCACCTAAACCTACACTATTGAATTAGTTAGTAAGAGACTATGTTTTCTATTCATTTTACAACTATCATTACACGTACATATTATTACCGATTGGTTTAGTTAAGTTGCGCGAATTAAGGAAGCGAACGGAAGCAGAAGCAGAAGCAGCAAGTAACGCTAACTTAGCTATAGAATTATAATTTAAACAGAAGCAATTACTTTTTTTTGTCCTACAACTACTACTCTATTACCCGATTCAAATAATGCAATTAGTTTTAGGCGAGTTTAACTATTGAGTTGGTTTCATTTGTCTTTGCCTCGTGTGCACCACAACTACTTGAATTCAATAAATGTTTAGTAAATGGTTTAGTTAACTAATTTCTTTTTGGTTTATTATTTTGTTGGATTTTCAGTTGCCCCTTACAACTGTTTTGATTTTCAGCTTACTTTTGGGCTGCATCTTGTGCAATACACTTAGAGAAAAACACACTCGTAATCGAGTTAGCGATCGATCGAATGAGCAAGCGAACATCAAGTGTTTTAATTTGATCGACTCTTTTAGAAATGATGTGCCAATTGCAAATACAAATACATGTGCGTATATATGTGGAACCCTAGTAAGAATTGTAAAAAAATATGTATAACTATATGTAATCCTCCCCTCACACACACACACACACTCGAAGCGCGAGGAGAATCGAAATAATCGAAACCTTTTACCAAGGACACAGAAATTGGGCATCCGAAAAACGTGTTTTAAGTCGTAGTTATTAAGTGCTAAGTAAAATTATGTGCAATTTATACAAAGGTCCGTTTCTGTTTCTATAGGTTCCCCTCTATACTCTATTTATCTATCTATTCATAAAGCTTTCCATCTATCTCTACATAACGAAATCGATAGTAATATTAGCATTAGGCGACACATAAGTTCGATGTACGATAACAAATCTAGAATTAGGCTTAGACGAAGGGCACCAGAGGCAGTGGATATCGATAAGAAAGGCGGAACGGAGATGAAATGGAACGGAAATGTCATTGGAATGTGGAATGAGTGGAATGGAAGACGGAGGAACGCTGAGAAGGGACACTTGAGGATAATGGGTGGCTTTGCGAGGGCATTACTTTGGTTCAGATGGGATTTCGGTTAGGTTGATTGATTGATTCGGACTCGGTTGGATAATTTCAGCATATCTGCGTGATTTTCTAACAAGTACAAACACACAAACGATGAGATTTTTTACATATATAACATAGTTCAAATATTTACACACCCTCAATTCACTCGATAAGAAATTTAAACCAAAACATATGCGCAACATTTGCTGAAAACGAAAACAAAAAAACTAGAAGACACAAACAATTATGAAATCTATGTGAAATACAAATTTTGTATTGTATACTAAATTAAATTTTTGTCGCATTTATTTTGAATAGTTCAAATTTATCCAAAATGATGTCCCAGCCCAAGAAACTCGTATATATACTCACACCTATGTTATATAAAGACATATATACACATATATTTTTGAATCGACATTTTGCGTCTTTTTTGTTGACATCTTCTAAATCTTAAATAAGAAAAAACTGAATTATCAGAAGCGAAATTAACGAAATTAGCTAAATTATTAGAGGCCCTTGAGCTAAGTAGCAGTTGAAAAAACACCGAACTGCAAATCGAAAATGTTTCTCCACTCACGTTCCCCACAATTAAACAAACGAAAAATGTATAAAAAGGATGTAGAAGATCCATGTTATTGGAGAAAGTCTATATGATAACCCCTAGGTGTTAAGTGGGTTCGCATCGGGCGAACTTAGATAAATTTTAACGCAAGCTTCTCGAGAACTTTAAAAACAAAACAAACGAAAAGATTTTGTTCCAATCTACATCAATGGACATTCAAAAAGCTAAAAAATTAGAAGCTTGCAGGAATATTTGGCGTCAAAACTTGAAACCAGCGAAGGTTCTGTCAAAGTCATTTCGATAACATTGTTTTCTTTGATAGGAAAGCGGAAATGGCGCCGCCATTTTTTTTTTTGGGAAAGTGCACATAAACACACACGCATATAGAAAAACGTACTAATAAGAAACAAAATTAAAGGGAAACCAATTTGTCATAAAGATACAGTTTTGATTGTTGTGTGTACTGATTAAATGACCGTGAACATATTACTTATATACACAAATATATATAGATGCATATATATATAAATAGATATACACATCTTGCCATAGCCAAAACCGGAAGAATGAACTTGAAAAAGAAGTTGGAATCAATTTCTTACAATTGCATGTATAAAATGATACAAAGTAAGCAAATGAAACAATGCAAGTAAAAGTATTCGTCAATAAACATTATTTCCAAACAAAATGAGCGTATTTATGGGAAAAAGACAAATTGTAAGTAATAATTTGTTTATATTGTTGTAGTGGAATTTTAGTGTATTGCCAGATATATAATATAATACTTTATGCGATCTACACTTCAGTTTTGTTTTACGTCTCATTTTTGTAATTTTGTATGCGAGTAGAAATATTTTCTTTTATATGGATCTCTGTTTAATTGTTTTTACTAATGTGCAGTTATGAGCTTTTGCATAATAACTGACGATCGCTATTCAAATAGAAGGTTTCATAATTTTAAATTGCATATCTCGCGCTCTAAAAACCTGTATTACAGAATTGTATGGTGTATAAAATATGTATTGAAACAACAAAATTGTGGAGCATACTTTAGAGCTGAAAACAAATGCTGCTTTCGAGTTGAGCACACATGCGTTGCTCAGGCTAAAGAAGGTTCTTAGTTTACCCCAACATCTAATACCATAAAGTTCGCGAGATGAACTTGAGTGAGTTCAACTCGTCTGCTGATCCTGATTAAATAACGTGCGCAGTGGAGACAGCCCCAAATTATTAGTGGTTTTGGTTAATGATCCATCAACAAGCCAATCGATTGAAATCGTCCCTTCATTGCTATCAATTAGCCATTCTTAAATCAAACTCAGTAGAATTTTTTTCCATTTTCTGTTTATTATGCTCAATTTTTGGTTTTATACTTTTGTTACGCATGTGATTATATATTCTTTTATTTATTCATTCTGTTTTCGGTTTTTGGGTTTAGTTCGCCTTTACAAATAATCATCGTTATGATCGTTCTTATATAATTTCTATGCAATTAGCCCGGTTTAATAAATATTCAATATATTCATTAAATTTGTAATGCCATTTCACATTCCATATAAATAATGTACACCAAAAAAAAAAACAATTCATTTAATATTAGTGTGGTATGCATTTGTTTTGGTTTCCTTTCGTCTCTTTGGTTTGCTGAAGCAGTTTTAATTTATAATTTTTTTTTTTTTGTAATTTTGTTTTTATATATTTTTGGTGGGCGTGGGCGTGGCCCGTGCCAAGCAGCGGAAATGCGGCCGAAAAGTCGTTCAATTCACAAACATCAAGCAAATGCCCCCGTTTCCATTTCCATTTCCGTTTCCGTTTATGTTTCTGTTTCCGTTTACATTTATTTAAACCGTACTCGTAGTTAATAATAGTTCCCTTAGTGACTGCTGATGCCGGTTGCTTGTGGATTGCGATTTGGGCCAATAGCGAGTATTTTACACGTACATATACACACAAAGAAATGCAATTCTCCCCCTTCTGACTGTCTCTACTTTCGTCCCTCTTTCCGTCTCTGTTCTCCGTTCCTGTTGCCGTCTCTCTCTGTTTGATTCGATTCGGTTCGAGTCTGGTCTACAGATCTTACTCTACGATGCGATCCTAGATGTACGCTATGCCAAGTTAGGCTCCTTCTATTCTTTCTTCTGGGAAAATCCCTCTACCTTAACGGCTCTTAACGGGGTTCTAACTCTGTCTCTTTCTTAACGGGCTCTCCCTCTCTCTCTCCCCGCCGTCTGCCATCCCTTTCTATTCTCTGTCTATATCTATCAACTTGTTTAACGAGTAGTAGCACAATTTTTGGACGAAGATGGTTGAAATCGAAGCGTCTAAGTGAGTGTGAGTGTGAGTGTGTATGCTAAACTAAATCCTCTATGGGGGAGTATGTATGTATGTATTTGTGGGGGGTGTAAAGCGCTTCTCAATTTACACGTTGCATACAGTACAATACGATCTGGCTATATTCCGTTAAATAACTATCAAAATTCTCGGCTATGGGTGCGAGTAGAAAACGAAACGCTGCAGTTACAATATCCACTTACGTAATTTCCCAACTGGCCTTAAATTTCCTCCTCCTTTAGTTCTTTTTTTACGTTATATAAATATATCGGGGTGGTGCTATATAGTGTGTGTGGAATATATATACTATATCAAAAGAGCTGCCTGTCTCCTGTCCGGAATCTCGAATCTCGTTTGGGTCTTGTGCTCGTGTTGGTTGGATTTTCCTCTCGGGTTTTGGGTTTTAGTTTTGGTTTTTACAGTAAGTATGGGTAAGCATATAGTATATGGGTCTGTTACTAGCTGCAGTAATCGCTGACTAATGTCGCCGTTCAACTAAGCTAAGGACGTTTTCGCAAAAAGGTCATTGTGTTCATATATATTTACGTATATATATTTATATTAATATATATATATATGGATTTATGTATGTCGTGGCCGATGGCCCGATCTGACACACACATTATTAACTATTATTACTAAGCTTTGCAAAAAGGCGTGCCATGTGTGTTAGTTATCGCTTCCTCTTATTTGTCGTAGTAGCTGCTCTTAACTCGCCTTCCGATCGAACTTTGTCTAGTTTACTCACAAAAAAAAATCGATACACTCGTGTGTAGTATATGTTTAGTATATATATATATATATAGGTACACACGCATATACATACATATATTTACTCTCGTTCTCTGACTCTCCTTCTTTATGAATAGGTATATATACTAAATATCGTAATATCCTTGCTAGGTTTTATAGTTAACAATAATCGCCGTTTATTATTCTCCCGCGGACTTAAATATATATGGGATTTTCCTGGCCAGTGAGCAGGCGGAACATGGACGTGGGCATCGTTTTCATGAGTATCTGGAAAGGTATTTAAGTTGATTAGTTTTAATTCAAGGGATTAGGTTATTGGATCACACCTCTCCCACGGAAGTGGCCAGTAAGTTAACGATCTTCTCGTGGGGCACAGCCACCACACTTTGGTTATTTATCTCGATTATGCGATGACCCACACGAACACCGCCTCGTTCCGCAATTCCTCCTCTAAGTAAACTGCAGATCTGCAAAAAAGGATATAAAAACAATTAAGAAACCACACCAAATATGAAATTTAATTGCAAGCCCAGTATAAACTTGAATAAAAAAAACCTTTCAAAATCAAAACCCTCACTTAAACCAAAACTGTAGCTCATGAAAACGTTTGCCCATAAAAATTGTATTTTATTGATTGTTTTATTCAGGTGGATAAATGGGGGGCAAAAGAACACTATCATAATACCCACAAAAGTTAGTGCTTAGGAATTTGTGTTTGTAATCCGGAAACAAATACCACAACATCCTGTTCATAAAAGAATAATAAATCATTTGCAGATTTATTTGCGTTCGAATGTCGTGCTCAAATGTGTGCTACAAAAAAGTTCCTATGCAAACCTGCCACAACCACGTTCTGAATCCTCTACTGCAATAAATTGATAGGATTATATGGTCTCAATAGATTTTCCAGTTGAATACAAATCTGGCCATGCAAATGCACCAGCAACTTAAAGTCAAATAAAATTGTGATTTTTTAAATTGTTTATCAAGAGCAATCCCATTGCAGTGTCTCTTGAACATGCAATGCATTTTGTGATGGGTTGTTTGAAACTCTACTTGACAAACTGTGGTTGAAAACCTACATTTCGCGTAGTTAAATTAAATTTGTTTTAAAATAGTTCTCTGTGCTATAATACTGGAAACTATTATTTACTTGCCAAAGTAATAATTTTATATAATAAACCAGCTTTTTGTGCGTTTGCCTTCTTTTAAGGGGTTATATACCTTTTTGAGCGAAAAAAATGAGGGAACTTTGGATTTTTTTTCAGGTGTGTAGCAATTATTTTATGATACTGAGGTTATTATTTATTGATAGTACATGTTTTTATAGACACAACAAACGTTTGTTCTTAAAAAAATATAAATAACTTTCGAAGTTATGGCAATTCTCTCATAACCCTTTTTTTGTTATAGCGGCTTGCGGTGACCACGATGGAAGTCCAGCGGGTCAACTAAAATCAATAAACCAAAAAATTTTTATTAGTTTAGTATTATTTCTAGTTCGTCATTGAATTACTTCAAGAATTTTTGTTTTTTTCTGCATACAGTAACAATTTTTTAAAAAAATTGAATTTTCGAGCTCTAAAAATTTTATTAAAAATTTCTTATCTGCAAAATCGAAATTGCCGCATAAAAACTGATTCAATGACGAACTCGGCACAATCATTACGAATATTTAAAAAAAAAATTGAAGAAGATCGATCAAATAGTTCTTGTGCAATCGCGGTCACAGCAAAGGCACTTTTGGAAAAAAACGACTTTGAGATAATCGCATTCAAAGTTTTACGTTGCGTTACAAAGAGTGACGAACCGCGCCTCAAAAGGCTGTTTTCTTATCGAACTATTATTCGGATCTCTTCAAAAATTTGGGAAAATGTTCTCTAGGGGATATACTTTAGGATTCAGCTAAAAAAAAATTTTCGTTTTTTTGGAAAAAAAAAAGGTATATAACCCCTTAACTTAACCAATTAGTTTTAATATTTAATATTCTCCTTTATTTTATTTGTAACTCAACTCTGTATTGCAAAAAACTCTAGCATTTATAATAAACAAATTAAAATATGTATTTATTTGTTAATTATGAACTGTTTATTTTTTTAAATAAACAACCTTTTTACTTTTCTAAACTGTGGCTTACTGTTTTCTGTTACTGTTCGTAAGGCTTATATTGTTTAAAGGGAGTGATTTTTAACCAAAATATAATCAAACAAAATGTTCCAAAACTGCATCTACTCTTTCTATACTATAGTATATACGTATATGAAGTATTCCCCGACTCACCACTCCATTTTGGACGCTGAAGCCGAGCTGGTACTTGGTCTCGGGGCGCTTGATCTTGACCTCGACGACGGGGGCGCAGGGCACCACGGTGAACTTGACGACGGTCTGGTTCTTGGTGTTCTTGATGTACGTCTGGCAGGTGGAGAGCGGCAGCCCGACGAGGCTCAGTCCGTTGATGGCGATCAGCTGGTCGCCGATGTTCAGCTGACCGCAGCGGGCGGCGGCCCCAGAGCTCATCAGGTTGGCGATGACGACGGTGGGCAGCATGGAGCCCCAGCCACTCTCCACGATCACCACGCCGAGGATCTCGCCCTTGGCCTTCGGGACGACCACCTCCTTCTGCAGCTCCTTCTTGGCGAAGATCTCCAGCTCGTCGCCGAAGATCTCCTGGCTGTTGAGCACCTCCTGGTAGTCCATCTCCTTTACGAAGCGATGGTCCTCGATCCCGTTCGCCTTGAGGAACTCCATGTAGGCCACCTGGAAGGCCTGGCCGATCGACTGGGCGATGAACTGCGCCTCGTCGCTCTCGAAAACGTGGCAGATCATCTTGGGCGTGCGGTTCGGCTTGGGGGCATCATCGATGTCCTGCGGCACGAAGCGACGGCGGGCCATCAGGACGACCAGGTCACCGATGTCCGCGATGTACGAGATGGTGCGCAGGGCGTGGTCCATCATGATCTCCTTGAGGTCCGTGTTCAGAACCATTATCTTCTCCGTTGAGATGAAGAGATCCACCTCGGTGCTTGGCTGCACATCGCCATCAGGTGCCTGCAAATTTGTACATAATTATTTATTATTTATTATAAATAATAGAAGAGATCTTTTGGTTTTGGTTCTAAGGATTGGCGGGATCATTGGGAGGGGAAGAAGCTTGGCTTTCGGGTAACACAATAATTACAGCGGGCCAAATGTCTTCGATCCAATTTAATTCAAGGCAAATCAGGCAAACCGGAAGTGGGTGGTTGGGTGGTTGGGTGGCTGGGTGGTTGGTGGTGGTTTTTAGAGGGGTTTTCAGTGGGTTTCTTTTTTGCTAGTGTTTCCATTACTTACCAGCGCCTATTTTGCGAATTTATTTTGGTTTTTTCGGGTTTTATTTTTTTTTCGTATTTTATTATTATTTGCATGGCGATACGTGGTTTGGTTAGCGTGGTTGGTCGTCGCGGATGCGGAGCATTTGATGTGGAGGAGGTGATGCATGAAAATATAACGGTAAACAGTTAATGAGTTTCTCATTTCTTTTCTCTTGCTTGGTTCTCGAGGTCGGTCCTTCAATCAGCTTAGCAACAAGGTCGTTTTCTTGGGAGCTTAGTAAGTGGGTGGCAAGTGGTGGTGAGGGGGAAACGGAGAAAAGGGGGTGGGGTGCGAGCCAGCGGGCTTTAAATCAAAAAAATCCAGGGGATCAAAGATAGAGCGGGGAGCAAAAGTAGCTGACAATTTGGTTTCATCAGTGCTGGGGAATAATTAGGGGAAGCAGCTCAAGGGATTGTCACAATTCGGCAAAGCAATCAAATTTAAGACTTATAATAAAATACAATATATAACCACAATGAACCTGCTTTGTAAAATTTAAAAAAAACACTGGTTCTATAAATTCACAATGTTTTAGAAAAAGTTAAAATTAAAGTAAGAATTTATTATATTATTAATGACTGCGAAAGATCTAGTCCAAAGATCTAGATCGATTCAGTTTAAGCAGTAAAAGTACAAAAAAATATTAACAGATTAAGAAAGAAATATGAAGCCTAAATAAAAGTATCAAGAAAGTGCGTATTTCAGAATAAAATTAATTAAATTGTGACAACCGGACGGTCGGAATTCTACCCACTACAAAAACACAGAACCAATCCTGGCACAAATGAAACTCAAGCTGATCGAAGCAATCGATCGAGTGGCCTCCTTCCAAAGGCGGTGAAAGGACAACTTTACCTTGATCCTGGAGACGGCTTCCTCGGCCTGCATCATCCTGGTGGACTTGGTGGGCTGACCCTCGCAGACCAGCTGCGTGGAGCCCAAGTACTTGGCCCTGAAGAGGACGCCCTCGATGAGCACTGCGCCGCCTGTTGGTGAGTTGGTGAGAAGAGGGGGAAACAGTTAGGAATCGGTTGCCGAAAGGTCAGAGGTCACAGAGTACATGTCGAGTAAAAGTTGGTTAGTGTACGTGCAAGTGTGGGTCGGCGATCTACTCTAAGTTATGTGTTCCTTAAAATCAAGTCAACCCTACTTTTGAACGCCAAAAGAACGATTTTTTAATTGAAATCATTAAAACTATGATTCAGGATCCTGCTCTGTTTAACCCTTTTATTGACTTCTAAAAGTTAGTTGTGGCTTAAACATGAACTAATATTAATTAAACCAAAAAACCCTCACACTATTAAATTTGTTGTACTATGTTTTGCTATTTTGTAATTGTTTTAATTATTTTTTTTTTTCAAAGTAGAGATAAACATTTATAGCCCAAAAATCTAGAAGTTAATTAAAATCTTCCCCATCAAAAACTCGAAGAACTCCCGATAAATGTTGCCCTTGTTTCGTGTTATCTTGTTAGTGTTGGATCTTAGTTGGTAGTACATAATGGAATTTTATCTTACAAAGTATTGTACACACACACAGACACAGTAAAATGAAGAGTAGAGTTTGGTTTTGATTTGGTTGAACGAACGAACGACGCATGCAAAAATACGCAAATAAATATGCGAAAGAATACAGAGAAATGATAGGTAAAAATACATATACGATTAATACGGATTATCTGGATCAATAATGGCAGAATATATAGGACAATCAAATTACGCATTATACAATTTCTTTTCGTTTCGTATTCGCACGCTGTCGAGTTAGAATTTTGATTTAGAATTTGCTCTGCTTTCTACGCTTGCGAATTTAGCGTTTCGTTGCGACAAATTGAATTGACAACGACAACGACAACATCAACAGGCCACAAGAGTATACAGTTATATACTATATATAATATATATGAATATATCTGGCTATATACGGTTATACTGATTATATGGATTATACGGTTATACGGTTAAGAAAGGAACAATCGAACGAAGGATAAACCCAACGCATTTACCTTCTTTGCTCTTACTCTTTTTCACTTTTTTCTCGCCGCTGTTGCTGTTGCTGCCGCTGCTGTTGTTGTTGCTGTTGCCGTTGTTGCCATTGTTGTTGTTGTTGTTGTTGCTGCTGCTGCCGTTGTTGGTGTTGTTGTTCGTGCTGGCCACCACGGTACCATTGGCTCCCGATCCCGCTCCAGTTCCCGAACCAGCTCCCGATCCCACTCCAGATCCCACTCCAGATCCGGATCCAGATCCAGATCCAGATCCCGATCCCGATCCCACTGGTCCAATGGGTCCGCCGTTGAGCACTCCCGCCTCCGTCTCCCCGATCTTCACTGCTCCGCCGGGATTGGCCAGTCCACCCGACGATCTCTCCGATCCTCCGCCATTCCCGGGACTTCCCATCGCCGGCGTTGTGGCCACCGCCGCCGAAGTGACCGCCGCCACCGCCGAGGCAACCACGTCCACGCTGCCGGCGCACAGATCCCCGCCAGAAATGCCCGCCATCTTGCTGGGCGACTTGTCGCTGTGCTCCGACGAGCTGCGCGACATGCTCCGCTGCACCATTCCACCGACCAAATCGAGGAGCTTGCCTCCGTTTCCGGAGCCCAAGGTGAGTCCCAATCCCAGGCCGGAGGAGCCCTTCGGCGGAATCGGAGGCGGGAGCTCCGGCGTGGAGCTGAGCAGCGCATTGTAGCCGTTGCGCGTCTTGGTGCTCGGCATCTGCTGCTTCGGCGAGATCTTCGAGAGCAGCGATCTTGGCTTGCGATCCCAGCTCTTGTTCTCATCGTAGTACCCCTGGTCGTCTAGTCGCTGGTGGCCCAGCAGGCGGTCCGTCTCCAGGTCGGTGTCCACGTCCTCCTCGTCGGCGCTGTGGTTCTTCGAGTGGTTATCGGATCCGCTCTCCAGCAGCTCCTTCCCAGCACCGCCGTCCAAGTGGCGGGACAACCAGACGGGTGAATTGAGTCCCGGCGACGGGGATCGCTGGACAACGAGGCTATTGCGCTCCGGAATGGGCGGTGGCACGCCCCCGTTGCCGGCGATGCTGCTGCAATTGCTGCCGGCGCTTCTGGGCTTGCCGCATCCGGTTCCCATTCCATTTCCGCTTCCGCTTCCGTTGCCGCTTCCGTTTCCGGCGACCGTCGAGGTGGGAGAACTGCGCTGCAGCGTGGAACTGATGGCCGCCGCCAGCGGAGTGTGCTTGCTGCTCGGCTGCAGCAGGTCAACATCGTTGTTGCCACCGCCGACCAGGTTCCCACTGCCGTTTGCCACGGCATTGTTGCCCCCGCTGTTGTTCGGCTTGCGGTGCGGGGCAGGAGCGGGCGGCGGCGGCGTCATCTGCACAGTGTCCGGACGGTGGAAGACTCCTGCAACAGCAACAAATTAACTATTAATATTGAATATTAAAGGGAACCTTTTTAATAAAAAATTTAGTCAAAAACTAAATAATAAATTATGAAGGCAAACAAAAAATATTTGAAATCCTGAAATCTTCAATCAATTTTCTTACAAGCCATCCTCCAAAAATCCTCTAAATATGTTTGTTGTCAACTTATAAATTGTTAATTTAATAACGAATTTACCTGTCATTCAAAATATACCTTATCTGCATAGGTATTCTTATACTATATAAATCTTTAAATTGTTGAAACGCGCACTGGCAAGAATGTTATGTTTTCAAATTACAAAACTAAAAAATACTTTTCTTTAAATAAGGCTTCTTGGGATAGAGCAACTTGTTATGATACGATTTATATAGATTAATTGAATCTGTTATGAAAAATCAATTTAATTTACCGACTTATTTTAACACTATTCAATTTAAAATGTAGTACTTTCCCATGAAACTTTAATGGGATTAATCGTAATATTTATACGAGTGTCAACACAATTACATAGTTGCTTTCCTTCATTATTGGATCAAAGTTTAATTTTCGTAATTTAAAGGCTTTAGCTTCAACTGCGAGTGTATGCAAGCTTGGGCTCGCGATGCTTGAAAACCCTTCCAGCGGAACCCCAATGGAGCACCTACCAATCGAGTAGAGCGAGTCCAACTCCGGATCGATGTTCTTGAACACTTTGCTGTGGTTGCTGGGGCTCTGCTCCAAAAGCGGCGCCTGCGAAAGCGCTTTCTGGAGGGGTTGCGACTGCGACTGCGAATGCGACTGCTGGTGACCTTGCACCTTCTGCTGCCCATTGCTGGGACTGGGCGTGGCACCGCCCAGGTGGTGACCGACCACACCCACGCCAACGCCAACGCCCACTCCGACTGGCACGCCCCCGTTGCTGTCCGTGGTGGAGGCGGTGGTGGTCAGGTTGTGCATGCTGTTCAAGCTGTTGTTCGTCGAGATGCGCTTCATGTCCATCAGCATGGAGATGCCGCCGCTGCCGCCGATGCTGGTGCTGCCGCTCAGGCTGGTGGGGCACTGACCACCCACCCCCTGCCCCATCGACGCCGCCGCCGCCTGCTGCAGGTTCTTGTTGTTGTTGTTCTCCGTGTCGCTGGTGTGACCCGAGGAGAGGCCGTCCTCGAGGACGGGCATCGCCGAGGCGTAGTACTTGGCGTAGTTCGAGCAGGAGGTCGAGACCCCGCCGTTCATCTCGCCGGAGAGACCTGCGTCGGAAATCGGGTTAATTAGTAACGGGAAACGGCGAGCAAGTAACGGGACTGCGAACGGGGGTTAACAAGCGGCGGGTTGACTCGATAATTAAACTTCCATGATTACAAACATGCTTGTTTAAGGCTCCGCACAAAAAGCGTTAACTAACCAGCTTGACCTGTTATTAAACATAAAATTTCCCACTCCAAGTCAGATATTTATTAAATTTGTTGAAACCTTTCCTAAATGGAAACCAAATCCATTGAAATGTGAAAAAAATGTAATAAAATCTACTAATTTCTACACAAATAAAGTAATTAAATGATTTCCATTTCAATTATTTGCTACTGCTTCTTAAATATTTTCCCTAAGAAGTAATCTTCTTCAAAACTTAAAATTTTTTATCACATTCTGCTCAAAATATCAAATAAAAAGTTACCCTTGGGCAAACCTGACCTGCGAAATTGTGTATACGCCACGTTGACAAAGACGCATAAGGCGATACTGCACGGCTTATGCTTTAAATTTGAATCTGTCAAGGATATATGAAAGCGCGCATTAACCTTTATCAAGAGTTGACTTAGCGAGTGCTTAGTATTTGTGTACACAAAACGTTGAAGCCTTAGAAGGATAAGTAAGCCGTGTGACTTTTGGGAAAAGTTTGAATTAAAGAACGTCCAAAGGTTTATATTCGGTAAGGGACAGAAAGAGGAAAGATGACTTAGAAAATTTGGCTTGTCCCCTTAGAGTTGGCTTAGCAGAAGTTTAAAAAGTGCGAATACGAAACTTTGAAAAAGCCCATTAAATAATTAATTGACTCAGACTTGTACTATATTATATATTATTGTGTACATATAAAAGTATGAAAGTCTAATCGACATTGAATTAAGATACCTGTTAATGAATTTAGCTCTAAATTAATCTGACCCTGAGATTCAGGCTCACAGTATATTTTAAATAATTAATAATAGTTAATGTCTTTTAACTAATTTAGCTCAACATTAATCTGACCCTGAGATTCAAGCTCCCAGTATATTTTAGATAGTTAATAAAAGCACGTTCTCTAATTAAACAAAAAATAAAGCTGGTTTCTACTTTAAAATACAGATGTTATTTAATTCCACTTACTGTCGAGATCGCCGCAGTTGGAGTCGTAGTCGGTGGTCTCCGGCGAGTAGCGGTAGTTGTGGCCTCCGCCAGGGCCCACGCCCACTCCCACGCCCCCCGCCTCCGCCTCCGTGGCCACTGCTCGTGCTCAGCAGCTGGTTGTGATTGAGCCCGTCCTGGTCGCCGTCCCGCTCCCCGCTGCTCCGGCTGGTGGAGTCCAGGAAGAAGTCGAAGTCGCGCATCAGCGGACTGCCGCTGTAGTGCCGCCGTGCCACGCCCACTCCCACGCCTACGCCCATGCCAACGCCCACGGGCATGGTGGCGCCCAGTGGCTGGGCGGTCAGCTGGGACTGCGACTGCTGGCCGTAGCCGCCGTAAACGTGGCGCTCGGGGGCGTGGCCGCCGGTGGGCGGCGCCTGCTGGCGGTAGTTCTGCTCGCGGTCCTGCTCCAGCGGCTCGTCCTCGTCCTCCGCCTCGTCGTTCTCCTCGTCGGCGTCGGCGTCGTCGTCGCCCTCCTCGTCCTCCTCGGCGTCCTCCTCCTCCACCAAGTCCTCGTCGTCGCGCTCGAAGTTGCTGTGGAACTCGTACTGGATGTCCTGCAGGCAAAACAGAGTACATTTTGTTACAGTGAAAGCGCAGGGCAAAAATGTTAAGTAGCTTTTGTGCATAAGTTAATCTCAAATAATAAATTGTCTGCTATTTAATATAAATGCAATTTAATCTGATACTATTTTTTCTCTCTTTCAAAACTATAACAAATACAATTTAAAATTTTATGTTGAATTGTATATTTCCCAGCAAAAAACAGAAGAACATTTTTGGAGTTTCATGTTATAAAAAGATTTCTAGATGGTTTACCAGCTTAAATTTGGATGCTAGAGGGTAGCATAAAAATGTTTCCATAAGTTCTATCCATATTTTGTTGAATATACCATTTCAAATTAGTATAATAATCAATTTTACTAAATGGAGTTGAATCTGTTTTAATTTTGATGCAAATAAATGCAATTTTATTATACCAATCAATTTTATTAGACAGAATTAAACCTCTTTAATCCTAATTGCAATTTCCCTCCTTGCATTCCGGAATCGATGTGATCCCATGAACCTATCCCACTCTGGAGTACTCACAATGCTGTCCACATCGCTGCCGTTCTCCATGATGGGCTGCTCGTCGGTGGAGGGGCACTTGAAGAACTCCTCGAGCACCTTGCGCGTTTCGGAGAACTCGTAGAGGTAATCGAAGGTCGACGATTTCGTGTGCATGCTGAGTGGCCCTAGTCCGCTGACCGCTGCTGTTCCATTTCCGCCTCCGCCTCCACCTGCGTTTCCGTTTCCGTTTCCGTTACCATTTCCATTTCCATTTGCGGTTCCGTTGGCAGCGGTGGTGCTGCCCGCCACTGCGGTGGGTGGTGCTAGTGCCGCGGACGCGACTGTATGTGGTTGAGGGGGCGTGGCCGAGCGGCTGGCCACCTCGCCGGCGCCCCCGATGGAGAGACCCACTGCCTCCGGAGCGGTCAGGTCGGATATGGTGCCAATCTCGGACACGTCGTTGCTGGTGTCCTCCGCGTTGTTGTCGCTGCTCAGCGGCTGCTTGTTGGTGTTCGAGTTGTTGTTGCTGTGGTTGCTGCTCAGCAGACTGCCGAAGTGTTGCTGCTGCTGCTGCTGTTGTTGCTGTTGCAACTGCTGTTGCAACTGCTGTTGCTGCTGCTGCAGTGGCGGCGAGATGCTGCGAGCCTCGCGATTCGGCGGCGAGATTATGCGCTGCAATTGAGGGAATATTCAGGTCAGAAAAATCAGTATATGAAATTACTTTGGTTTTATTTGGTTTACATTGCAAAATATCTAGGATTCCTTAAAAATACAATATGTGTTATCAAAATTTGTTGTGTATAAAGTTGTTAAAATTTTTCTTTGAATGTTGTAAAACTTTACTCTACTTAAATTATTTTAATAATTTTTCTCAAAATGAAAATGTCTCCATATTTTAAGGAATCGTTTTGTATATTTTGTTTTAAGCAAAAATAATTAAATAATAGGTACTTATGTTCAGAATTATCTAACTTAAATTCAGAAAACAACCGCTATTTTTGTTTCGTTGTTGAGTATTTTCTCAGCTTTTATGGTTAACTATTTAAAAAGGGAAAAACTTGACTGATTTTGTAATGTGTTATAATTGAATTGCATAGCTAATATTTCATTTGTGAATAATGAAATGAATAATGAGTGACAGCCTTCTCATTGAAATTCACCGAGGTAACTGAGTCCCTCGGATTACCATTAAATTAATTGATGCAAAGCCGAAATCAATGAAATATTCATGGTTGCACCCACCTGTGGAAAGCCCGGGCGCACGGGATAGTTCTGGATGGTCTGCTGCTGCGGCGAGTGGATCTGGCTGGGGTTCAGTGGGTTGCTATTGGGACTCGGGTTCTGATTCTGGATCTGATTCTGACTCTGATTCGGATTCTGGGTGTGTGGCAGCAGGGAGCTGAGGATGTTGTGGGAGTTGTGGGGATGGCTCTGCGCCAAAGCGGCGAGTGCTGCACGTGCCGCAGTTTTTTGCAGCGAGGTTGCCGTTGAACTCAGCGGTGGAACGGCGGCCATTGGCAACTGCTGTTGATGTTGTTGTTGTTGTTGCTGTTGCTGTTGTTGCTGTTGTTGCTGTTGTTGCTGTTGTGTTGCTGCTACGTCTGCCGTTGCTGGTGGTTCGCTTTCGTCCGCTGATGCCGCCGCTGCCGCTGCCGCCGTCACTGCTCCCAAATTGCTGGCGGTCACTCCAATTCGTCTCGGTGAGCCTTCGTACTCTGTGGATGCAAATTATAAATATATATATACATATTTATTTCAGGATATAAATTCCAGTTGAAGTGTATCGGTTGATTAAATAGATAAAAACAAAAAATATGAGCTTTATAGCCGAGTGCACCTATTGAATGATATGTTTAAAAATATGTTGCCTACTTAAAAGGGCACAATAACCAAAAGTATTTACTTTTGAAAACTGCTTTGATTCGCAGAATTTTGTACATCATGGCGCTTATTCTTTATTGGTGTTCCTTTATTTTTATTTTGGCGGCAAAAAAGGGCAGGAAAAACTTGCAATCCTCTTTTTTAGTTGCCAATAAATATCGTTTTGTTCGTTGTAAAAGTTGACCTATTTACTGTGTTTTCATAAAGGACCAACTGACATTATTTTATTGAGTATGCTGTTGGTTTTATCTTTTTGATATTGACTTTATGAAGAACATAAAAATGTTTTAAATAGTAAACTGAAGTGGCTCCTAAAGAATGGAAAAGCCAACCTAGGAATTTATTTGAATGTCGGAAAAAATTAAACAACTTTAAAGCGACTACTAGTTTTTACTAGTTTTTCTGTAATTCTTTTGAAAGGCTATAGCAAAGTGTTGCGTTTTGCTGATATTTAATTAACTTTTTAAAGAGCTATATAAAAACTTCCTATAACTAAGTAAAACTATGCCATTTTTTGTAATTAAATACCAGTAATGCCGTGCCTCTAAAAGGTTAAAGAATAGCTGCGCTTCTGCATATATTTTAAATGATTTTTTAGCCAGGGATTAAAGGAACTATCAATATTTTATGATACTAAAATTCCGTAAAACTTTCCTATTCTTATTGTATTTAAGTACCAATGATGCCGTGCCTTTAAAATGTTAAAGAATAGATATGCTTCTGCTGATATTTTTTTAGGCGGTGATTAACTATCAAATAGTTTATGATACTAAAACTGCAGTAAAATAATGTTATTTTGTTTGTGTTTAAGTACCAATGATGCCGTGGCGCGACTCTACGGCCAGCGTGTAGTTGCGCTCGAGCTTCCAGGCGTCCAGCTTGTGCTCCCTGTAGACGTTGACCTCCGACCCCATCTGACCCTGACCATGGCCCTGGCCCTGGAGATTGGGCATCTGGTGCTGGTGCTGGTGCTGAGCCCGATCCGCCGACTTGCCGGACTTGCCGCCCTCCTCCGCCAGAGTTTCGGTCGTAACGCGCAGATCTGAATATTAAGAGTGAGTGAGGGGTGAGATGAGAGGGCGCTTCTGCTGAAGGGCTGTTGTGGCAATGACAAAGGGGTACGAGGCACCGGTCCGACTGCTCGGCATGCCAATTAATTGCAATCAATTAAATTCCACTTTGGCGCGTTTCCTACGCTTTGTTTGAAGCCCCCTTCTTGCCCGGAATCGCCCAATATCCCCCCGCAGGACCACTTTCCACTCTCCACGCTCCGTTTCATACATATTTGCAGTACACTTCATTACGCATGATTTGCAATTCAATTACCCGGCCCATGTCCATCAGTCCGGCATTCAGCCAGTCGGAAATTGGTTTTGCTGGCTGCCTCAGAACAGAACGCTCCGCCCTGTGAAGAGGCCGTCCTTCAAGCCACAAATTGCTGCAGCACGTGCAACCACAGAGCTTGCTGCCACTCGGACGGACGGACAGACGGACGGACGGACAGACGGACGGACGGAGGCAACACTTCAGCGAAGCTCACCCGGAAAAAGGTTTGTGTATTTTAGGAATGCACTTCTGCCCAGGAAGCTGCCACACACTTTGCTTGTGCACCCAAGGAATATAAATACCACGGAGTCTGCCCAGCATTTATGCTTAAATCAGATACAACTAAACCGTTAATAAACTTATTTTAATTGCTTTCAAGTCACATTTGCCCATATAATTTATGAAACTAAAGGAATACCCTTCAGGAAATGATAAACCTAATTTAAATTTATTCAAAATGTTTACTACTGAACCAGAAATGAATATCTGGGATTTTCTTTTAAATTCGATACCAATATTTATTGCTTGCTTTCGAATTTATAAATAAACAACATAAAATCATATTATGATACGCAATTAGCTTGAGCTTGAGAAGATTTTGTAAAGTTCTTCAAATAAATTTTACCAAGAAAATGTAATGCAATGAGAAAAGCTTTTCAAATATATGTTAAGCCTTCTATAAAGACAATTCTATCTGTTTCAAAAGTGTGGTTTATATTTATTTCAATTATCCAACTACCTTTCTTTGAATACAACTAATCATTTCAACTCCTTTTGATTCATTTCCCTATGTTATTTTTTGTAAACTGTATTTAATACTTATTTGGGATTGAAAGGCTTTCCTGTATAAATACGCCCACTACAATCTATTATAATTGGATACTCACGCTGCCAGCTCTCGTTGGGATCTGCGCTCCCGTTGACCATTCGGTGATCGCGCTCCAATTCCCGCTCCTCGCCGTAAACGTGTCGCTTGCGTTGCTGTTGCAGTTGCTGCTGTTGTTGCTGCTGTTGCTGCTGGCCAGCCAGGTGGCTGAGGTGATTCTCCTGCAGCTGCAACTGCTGCTGCTGCTCCAGCAACAAGTGCTCCCTCTCCCTCTCGCGATCCCTTTCCCTTTCCCTTTCTCTCTCTCTCTCCCTTTCCCTCTCCCTTTCTCTTTCCCGCTCCTCGCGGAGCCTCAGCTTCCGCTGCTCTCGTGGTTCCCAATCGCCAGGATGCTGATCCAGCGAGGACTTGCTGCCATAGAGATAGTGGCTGGCCAAAGGAGTCAGTCCATCGGCACAGGGATTGCTCCTGGCAGCTGCAATCTGCTGTTGTTGCTGCTGCTGCTGTTGTGGCTGCTGTTGTTGCTGCTGGGGAAAGCTGCGATTCACCGGACTCCTTCCAACCCGCAGGACGTGTGGTTGTTGTTGCTGCTGTTGCTGCGGTCGCTGGCTGATTCCGTACACCTGTTCCCGCTGCTGGTGGTAAGCTCGTCTGGCTGAGGCGTGCAGATGTTGCTGCTGCTGCTGCTGATGATGTTGCTGTTGCTGCTGTTGCTGCTGCTGCTGCTGCTGTTGCTGCTGCTCCTCTGCATACTCAGTGGGTGAATGTAGCAGCAAGCTGGCTCTTGTGGGCGGCGCCTCCCAGTAGTTTTCCTTGATGAAAGGATTCTGACTTCCATTGCCATTGTGCAACTGTTGCTGCTGCTGCTGCTGTTGCTGTTGCCTGCTGCTGGCGGGCAACGCACTGCTGCGTTTGCGCGGCATTTCCGCGTAGCCGCCGGGGCCACGCCTACTCTCGCCCACCGTGTGGTAGTAGAAGGAGGCGGGGTAGTCGGCCTCCTCAACTGTTCCCACTCCCGATCCCGATCCCGATCCCGATCCCGATCCGTTCCTGCTCCGCTCCACCACAGCTGACTCGTCCAGTTGCTGTTGCTCCTGCAGCTCCTGTTGCTGCTGCTGCTGCTGCTGCAGCTTCTGATGGTGATGGGGAGGGGTGAGCGGGGCGCAGAGGAAGGGGTTCGTGGAGATGCGCGGCGTCACCGAGGACAGCGATTCGGAGGAGTGCGACGAGGCCGAATGTGGCGGCGGCGATTGCGTTATGATATTCACGCTCTTGTAGTAACTGGGCGTACTGGTGGGCGTGGCCTTGGGGGCGGACTGCCACTGATGCTGGCCAGCGATTCGCCACCACCAACTGTTGCTAAATTGGGACTGCTGCTCCGGTTGCTGTTGCTACTCACGTCCGCCAGTGTTGCATGTTGCTGTTGCTGCTGTTGCTGCTGATGCTGCTGCTGCTGCTGCTGCTGCTGCTGTTGCTGTTGCTGCTGCTGCTGTTGCTGCTGCTGTTGCGGCTGCTGCTTGGGTCGGCACTTGGGGAAGAGCAAGCTGATCTGATCGTTGAGCGGCGGCGAAGGGGAAAGCAGAGCCTGCGACAAAATCAACGGCGGTTGCTGTTGCTGCGGCTGCTGCTGCTGCTGTTGGTAGTTGCTGCTGCCAATGTTGCTGTTGCTGCTGTCGCAGTCTATCTCGAGACTACCGTTAATCGCGTAGAAGCCGCGCTGTTGGCCAACCGCCGCTGCTGCTGCTGCGTGTGGTTGCAATCGCTGGTAAGGCAATTGCTGATGCGACTGCTGCTGCTGCTGCTGCTGCGTGGGATCCTGCTGCTGCTGCGGGTGGTGATGGTGGTGGTGATGGTGATTACTGCTACTAGTTGTTTGTCCAGCAGCCAGAGTTGTCAATGTTGTGCTGACCATTATTGTTGCCAATAAGCTGTAAGTAGACGAAGGGAAAACCATTTGAGTGATTTGCCATTTGCCATTACGTTTAATAGACCTTTTCCCGCTTTTCCTCCTCCCCCCTTTTCCCCTTCCCTCCCCCCTCCCTTTTCCCCACCCCCTTTGTAGATTCGCTCCACATCCACAGCTGGCAGTTGTTTTAATAAATGCAGGCGCAATGTCAACCTTTGTCATGTCCAAACGGCAAGAGGGCGTGACAGTAACGAGTTCTGTCGCCGGGTCACGTTTCATGGGGGACTGGACTGGACTGGCTGCCTGAATAACTGAATAACTGGACGGTTGGCTCCAAACAAATGGCAGCCATAAGACAGGCAAATATTTAATTGTCCGCCCGCCGAAGGGGGCCAACTTCGCAGCTGGCGAAACACCCGTGCAACAGCAACAGCAGCCAATCAATGTCGCCGAGCGATTGCCGTCGGTTTGTTGAGTTCAAATTGAAATTGAAATTTAAATTTAAGTCGCCCGCCTGCGACGGTCGAGCGTTTAAGTTGGATTCAATTTGCATTCGCTACGAGCTTTTTGTCATGTGGCATGCAAATGAGTCGCAGTGGACAGCATGTGGAACCTGAATGAGAAAAAATGAGAGAATAACCCGCTAATATGTAAAGAGATTTCGACTTTCGCTTGGCTTTATTCTTTTTCAGCTAGCCGATATGCAAATGAGGAGGGGCCATCTGAAGCGCGGAAAAATCAATTGAATGGGTTTCGTTTGGGGTTTTCCACTCCTTTCAGAGCTCGAAATATAATAAAAACCCCTTTGGAGTTTTTCATTTAACTATATTTGTGTTATGCAGAGAGTTGTTTAAAGTAAGCTCTGACTTAAAGGAATTTATTGGGCAATTTGCGTTCACTTGCGAATGAATCATGTGTGGAGCTCGTGAGCAACTTTATCCCCACTTTAAAGTTTAAGCCAACACACATCCAGCTTGGCCCCAAAAAGGTCTCTCTCGAACCGCTTAAAGCTGCACGAATCCCCTTTTGGGCACCCAAACCACTCCACGTTGGCATTCTGTCCCACAACCCATCCGAAACTTCGCCCACAAGTTATGCTAATGCGTGCGGAGTGCGGGGAAAGGGAAAAGCGGTAGGGGGTGTGTTTATGCCCGGGGCCTAAAATATTTTCCCAACAATCAAACTAAAAATTTCGAAAAGGATTAACAACAACAGCAGCAGGAGCCAAAAGCGAGACGAGAAAAAAGTCAGAGAAGCGTACGAATGCACTGAAAACAGGTAATGCAAATTAAGAACTTTCCACATGGAAATTTTCACATTAAATAAACAATTTTTCAATTACTTTTGAGAATTAGGATACTTACCTATAGTACATCTTCTAAAATTGTGCATATTGCTTTTAATGATTGCTCAAAATAAATTCAAATATTACAGTTTTTCCACTGCGGTGCAAAAATTCCCAATGGGTTCTGGACAATGTTCGTAATCAAATTGATTGCTGAGTAAGTAAACAGGGATGATGATTGAGGTTGATAACCGCTAAGAAATCAGTGAACAGAATTCTGCACTTCGCTTCTGATCGGTTTCTTTTTGCTGTAGTGAAGAGCAAGTATAGAAATATTTTGTTCTCTGTGTGGTAATCACACATGCAAGTGGGGATAACCGAAGCGAGCAGCGAGATATGTGAGCTGTGAGCCAGCTCCTGTTCAAACTGTTGTTTCTGTGCGTCTCGCATGGCTTTGTGCACTCGCATGGAAAATATGTTTTCGTTTTCTGGAATGCCACACACAACTCTCGGCTGGGAAAAGGGCAAGGGGGGGTCTGTGGAGCTCTAAACTGGGCGGACGAATGGCTGAGGGACTGAGGGGGGTCTTTCATAACCGAAATCTACACAACAGCTAACAAGGTATAACAGCAGCAACGACAGCCAGACTCTCGCACGGATGAGGAGCCATAACCAGAGCCAGGGAAACATTTTCTTTAAGGCTTCACACGACACGAACACGGCTAGATGGGCAAACATTTTCATTGCTTTCCACTGGGATGCTGGTCTGGCCGAAGATACCATAGTCCCTTGTCGGAGGAATTGGCGACAATAAAACACACTCGCCACACGTGTCGTCTCGGGAAAGCCTTTAAAATTTAAGGAAAGTCGCTCTATCGGATTAAGATACTTTAGAGGGAATTACTATTCGATTGCCATATACCAAAGTGCTTATTACAAATGTGACTACCAACTAGGCAAAGTCTTGCATTAAGACAACAAATATAATTACCAACTAAACAATCTCGTGTATCACAATTTGCACCTTAGAACTTAACTTCATTTTATCAAAATTGTTCCCGAATACAGAATCTACAATATCTTAATTTATTGCCAAAGTATCCTATTCAAATACCATCACACATTTCATATGACACAATCACTGGGCAAACACAGAACATGGAGACTCAGTATCTGAATTTATCACTTATCACCTGTGAAATTGAAGATGTCGTCCCTGCCAAAATTCGGTGCCGCAGGGCTGAATGTGGAATGAGTTGACATATACGAATGTAATTGGGAGTGGGTTCTATGGAAGGCAGTGCCAAATGGAAATGGTGAAAACCATCTAGATGCCTCTTCATTTGTCTTTTTGGGGAGGCCAACCCAACAACATCAATCTGTTGCACAGTGGGCGATTTTGTTTACCAAGCTCGGAAATTTGTAAACTTAATATTTGAGCAAGCCTTTTACTTTTAACTCCCATTGAGAATAACTAAATAGTTTCAGCAATCCATTCTTTTTATCGTTCTTTTAGATTGTTTTTGGCTCTCAGATAAAAGATGGTATTGAATCTCTAATAAAGAAATATTATAATAAGCATTTTCCATAGCAATTATGTGAAGGTATGCCTTAACTAAATTCTTTGAAATTTGTAATCAATTCGCTGTTAAATAAGAAATACATTTTAAAACTTATTTTTACAATTTAAGCTCCAACAATATTGAAGTATCTAAAGTAAGATGTTTGTTGGATTGCTTTCATGTTAGATTGTTAAAATAACTCTGACTGACGACTGAAATTCGTTTTGCTGTTTTCCCCCTGTTTTTCCAGCTATCGATCTCCTTTCACAGGATGCAACTGGTCTCCAGGCTCACTTCTATCACTTTTCCATGTCCCTGTCATGTTTGGTATTTTTGGGTCCGATTCCTGAAACTTGATGCCTTGGATGTGCTTAAGCCTGTGAAACGATTGCGAGTGGCATTCCTTTGATTTACGGGGCGACGTCAGCTCGTTCTTTTTTCGGCTCGAAGGAGGATGTCAACAGGATCAGAGTGTTTGAACTGGGCCCCAGGATCTTCTGCACTGAGCAAACTTGCCAAGTCTAATTTTAAAACGAATTTATAGGGATTTTTCCAATATTAAAAAACACAATTACCTGATGGACTTTTGTAGTAGCTTACTGATACATTTTCTAACATTCAATCAATAATTTTTAAAATTTAGTTTTTCATATTTAGTTGCATAAAACTTTAAAAACCATGTTGGGATATCAATGTTGCAAGTGGATCGATTTGTATAAAATTAACTTTAATCAGATAAAAGCGGCTTTGCAAAAGGTTTACTTGTTAAGCTGAATGCTTAATTGCAGTTGAAATTTGCATGCAAATAGGCAAAAGCGGTGTTCCTGTTTTTGGTGCCGTGTTGTTCCAGCCTTTTTTCTCTTTTCTTCAGGTGATGTTAAGTGCGGGCCATAAAAATTTCATAAATTCTCCGGCAGGGGAGCACACATGCACACACATCCCAACAACCCGGCGACGTGACTCCATTCCATCCTTGTCCTAGAACCGGCAGATGCATAATTAAGTTACCAGGACGAGGAGGCCAACGTGGACGTGGACGAGGATGGGGATGAGAACCAGGAGGACGAGGAGGACGAGGAGGAGGTGGGGAATGTGGGGCAGAAGGACTCGGCGCTGCTGGTGGGCGCGTCCTTGGAGTTTTATTAACTTAATGTCTGCTTAAACGATGCGTCGCTTGTCGCTCTTTAAATATTTAAAATTAATTCCAGCCCGTTCCGCAGCTCGTTGCCCAATGAATCAAAATGAAAATCAATTGCCAGTGCCCGCAGTTAGCCACCGTTGGTGGTGCTTTCAGTGGGATGGGATGGAGGTGGTGCATAGTGCACCAGGCAGGAAGGTGGTCTAATGCGGTCCTGGCTCTGATACCGTCATTACGGCCACATTGCGGCAGGACGCCAGCCAACAGCCAACGGCCAACAGCCAATGGCCATTGGCCAAAGGCAGACGGGCAGCCAACGGGTTGGATGCAATTACCTCTGCCTATGATGGCATTAATTATGCAAAACAACTAACGCTGCAGGAGCCACTGCCCGCCGTTTGGGGGGAGGCGGGCTTGAGGGGGGCGTGGCTTTGGGGCACGCAAATCCACGTGCCTCTGTGCAGTGGGTGGTGGACTCCCCTCCCCCCGCCGACTTCCTTCGCCCGCCGATTGCATGCGACGTAAACGAAACATGCAATTTATTTTAACCCAAATCGTTGCCAGTTTTTTGCCCGTTATGCAATTACTTGCCACTCCCCGTTTTCGGGGCGATAAGTACTGCTTTGTCTTGCGATTAAAGGGTTTTTCCTTTATTATTTCTCCTCTTCGCCGGAGTTTAGTTAATGCTTTGCAGATTTTCACCCAGCTGTGCAATTAGCGAGCGGGATTAATTCACTTATAACCAGCATTTCGTGTGGGAAAATGCTTGTCGCCGAGCGGATTTGAGTGCAGTGCTGCAATTTGGGTTAAAACACCATTTTGGCCAAGAGAAACCCGCACTGACAACAAACCAGAAGGCAGAAAGGGGTGAAAAAAACCAGGAAAAGCGAGCGTCATGTAAAACGCCGCATGACAAAAGCACACAACGATAAAGGAAATAATGGAAAGGAAGGGAGGTGAAAAAACAAACAAAAAAAAAAAAAAAAACGAAAGCGAAAAGTGTAATGAAAAGTGAAAGTGAAAGTGACTAAGATGTT